GTATTAAATGCTCAACACGTTGGCACAAATTTCATCCCTTAGTCGCAGTTAGGGTCGGAGGAATGAATTTTTGAATTGAAAAAATTTGTTTTTTCAATTTCTTTGCGCTTTCAAAAATTCACTCCTCCCTCCCTATTAGCCGCTAAGAGATGAAATTTGTGTCACGCATTGAGTATTAAATGCTCAACACGTTGGCACAAATTTCATTCCTTAGTCGTAGTTAGGGTCGGAGGAATGAATTTTTGAATTGAAAAAATTTGTTTTTTCAATTTCTTTGCGCTTTCAAAAATTCACTCCTCCCTCCCTATTAGCCGCTAAGAGATGAAATTTGTGTCACGCATTGAGTATTAAATGCTCAACACGTTGGCATAAATTTCATCCCTTAGTCCTAGTTAGGGTCGGAGGAATTAATTTTTGAATTGAAAACAAAATTTTTTTTTCAATCTCTTCGCACTTTCAAAAATTCACCCCTCCGTCCCCAAAAGGCTCTAAAGGATCAAACTCGTGTCATTGAATTGAGCATTTAATACTCAATAAGTGACACAAGTTTCATTCCTTAGCTATAATTCGGGGGGAGGGATGAATTTTCAACCGAGACGCGCGTTCCCCGCGCCACTCGACGCTGTAACCAATGGAAAGACGATCGGTTGATCGTCCTTCCATTGCGTGTGGAGGGGGAATTACGTTCCCCCATTCATTCTCCCCTCTTCGTCATTCCAGCGAAGAGAGAGAGAGAGAGAGAGCAATATCGTTGCGCTTTTTTGTCTCGTAGAATGGTGGGGCGGGCACACACACATATGCTGCATATGAGTCTGATCAAAAAGTGCAAGAGGACTTCACTGCTCAGAATCACCCCCTGATCCTAGGGTGTTGAGATGTACATGTCCTTCTGAAACACCCTGTATATATTTTTTAAAGAACTATGTATTTTTTTTATTACAGTTAAAAATAAATTGCTCTTTTTTTACAATTACTGTCGACAAAAGACTACAGTACATGAAAAAATATACATAGACATCATATTACATTACTTGGGAACAAAGGCTTTACAAGTGTAATAAAAAATTCATCCGAAAAATGGAGTCAAAAATTAACATTTTTTATTTGACTGTTTTTCCACTCTTACATCAATTTATCGAGATATTCATTTTTTTCCAATTTTATTCACATATACTTATCTCCACTAACGAATGTCCAAAAAATGTACAAAAAATCACAGAGAGTACTCGTACTGAGCATGAACATGTCGTGTTTTGAATTCATTCAAAAAATTAATTTTGTTTGTAATTTTATTTCTCACTAAATTCGACTTATTCGTTGCCCACCGGACGTTGAATTGCTGTCGATGCAGCTCAATTTATAGGGCTAGTACGCCACGCGCGACCTTCGAAACCCCAAAATTGCAAACGCAGCGCAACTGCACTTTCGATTTCGGGCTTTAGATTCATTCTTTTCGAAATTATAGTCAGTCTCGTCTTAGATGCCAAATCGGCACGTCAATTAGACCGAACTCCTTGGATCCTCACGCGTTCGTATCATCAGAATCCGTTGATCAGTACTGCCCGACGTACAAGTGATAAAGGATCCAAGTAATTAACAATTGCACAATTACGCCCACCTTCGTAGTGTGCATGTTTGAAGTTGAATCGCTGAACGGTCGATAAGTTGCGAATTACTTATTACGTTTCAGTGGATTTCACTGTGCAAGGACACAATTTATCAAACAAAAGTGCTTAGATACATTCTGAAATTATTGAACATTATAGTGCGAAAGTTATTAAACATTTTAGTGTGTTAAGTGACATTGATCAAAAAAAATTAAACTGTCGTATCATTATTTAAAAAAATCGAAACTCACTCTGAATACAATTTTGGATTAATTCAACTATTGATTAGTACAAAACACGTCAAAGAATCTATTCATTTTGGCTTTTCAACATTTTTCAAAATTATTAGCTTAAAATCTAAATTTTGGATCACTATTCTTCTTGATTCCCTTTTTTTGCGTCGTTCGTATTCTCTCTTTCCTTCGGGTTTATTTCTCTGTATAATGAAAGTCTTTTCAAAATAATAAATTCGAGTATTGTTACTGATAAAATCTTTGTCTTCTAATTGTCTTAAATCCCTAATTTTATTATCATTCTCAATCTCTTCTCGAATGAACGATAGTGGCAGATGCACCTAGTGCTTCAAAGGTAAGGACCAAAAACAAAAATAAATATTATTTTATTCTGATAATTAGAAAATTGATGATAACTCATTTAATATTTAATTGAATTTGTTATTAAAATTTTCCTGTTACCACAAACAAACAGATTTCTTAAATAATTTCTGAAGACCTTGAAACAAAAGTATCTGGATTGAGAGAGAATTCCTTTATGGAAATTGATGATGAAAATTTAAAAAAAGAGAAAAACTTTCAGAAAAAATTACTACAATTCATTAAGATTTTTTCCATTTCTACAGAATTTTCTATGCAATCACAATTTCAGGAAAATCCTGTATTATTCACCTGGGAAAAAAGAAAACTAGGCTGGAGGCCCTCGGGCAATGGCTATTTGTAAGAATGTATGTTTCTTGCAATGTTAAAAGTTAAAGTTAAAAAAGAAAACTTGAAAATTGCCCTAGAAAGCGGGATTTTCGCATTTTTTTTATTCATTTTGAACATACAAAATTTATGCATCCAGTAACAAAAATAATTAAATAAGTTTGAATCTATAAAATTATGTCTGGAAGAATAGTTGAAAAAATTTTAGGAGTTTAGTATTGTTGAAAGATTTCAACAGAACCCTAGATATCTTTCAGAACGAATTATCCAACTTATTGAAACATGGGATTACGCAATCACGTAATTGATCACCGGTCTGAATGATGATAAACTAAAACTCACGAAATAGATATCCGGGAAGATGTTCGTAACTGCGACTCATTAAGCTACAAAACTGGTAAATATTTTTTTCCATGGATTTAGATTGACACGTGGAGCTTATCTCTGATTCCTTTACAATTGGCCTGCTGAGGCCAATCGCAGACTTCGAGTTCCGGATTGAAATAGAGACCAGGTGGACACGGAATCAGCGTTGGTACGCCATGGCTGCACTTGCAAAATTTGCTGCAGTGGCTGTGAGCTAGGTGCACTGCGTACTTTGGATCTTGGATTGGACAGGTACCAATGCATCCCGCCAATACAGGGTCAGGTCCAGGTGTAGGACATGGCGGTGTGACGGTGACAGGTCCATGATCAGGTCCGGGTGTAGAACATGGCAGTGTGACGGTGACTGTCACCGTTGTAGGAATAATCGTTACAGGTGAAGGTGTAATTGTCACGGCTGAAGGTTTAACTGTAGTAGTTACAGTTGCGATTACTGTTACAGTTGAAGTGCAACAAGAGCCCCATCCATGAGGTGGGCAAGCATCAGGTATGGGTGTTGAACACCTGGCACCGTTTGCTTTCTCCGGATAGGTGCAGACTCCCAAAACTGGGCTGAAGTGGAAACCCGCTGGGCAATCATATTCGTATGCAACGCCATTCATACATTTACAGAATTTACCACAATCCTGATGCTCCAGAGTCACCGTCAGTTGAGGTGAGTTGGTACATGGACAGGTTCCCATGCAGTGGTTGTTCGAGTCGTAAATAAATCGACTCAAAGCAACAGTAGTTTCGTCACTTTGTTCAAAAGTTTTGCATTTGGCGTCAGATTGGAAGGTGCAACCTCGATCCACCTCTGAATAATAAAAGTCCTCTGGACAGTTCATTACGTAAGGTGTTCCATAGATGCAGGAACAGAACAGGGAACAATTTTGATGAGGCATTAAGTAAACATCATTATTCGGGTTCCCTGCTGGACACTTTTCCCTGCATCCAGAAATGTCTTGCTCTGCTGAGACTGCACTGAACAATGCAATCACTAACACTAACCCTGGAGTCAAGCGTAAAAAGAATTAGAAGAATGTAAAAACCCATCATTTGATCTATTATTATAATTAAACACATCCAATGAAAGAACAGAATTAAGCTTACATATAAGAGATTCCATAGCGTCTATATTGAAATCACAGATCTGACTGCAACCTTTAAAACAAAATGCGCTTTTATACAAAGTATTTATCATTCCATCTCATCTACATAGCTCTGATCAAATCCCAATCTTATTAATGCAATTATCACCGAATGATTTCAAGTATGGATTTCGCCACCGCTAAAGCCTCTGTTTACAATCAAGGTGTTGATACTCTTTCCGAGAAAATACTTGATTTGTTTTACATTATTTTCTATAAAAATTATTCCATCTGAATTTTGCAGGTTCTCTCCACTGATTTGCTTTCTTCTCTCATTGAAAAATCCAACAAAAAAAACATTGCGAATTTATGCTAATGAATTGTTATGGGAACAATCTCAAGAGCATAAGTCGTATAAAAGAATAACCTATTTACATTTTTCCATCAGAGTTTTTCAATTCTTCTGCAGATATTATTATTATTATTATTATTACATCTATCATAATCTTATTTTATTATTGTAATTAACATAATATTATAATATTAATTATTATAATAATATTATACTAATTTATAATATTAGTAATGATTTTCTCATCGTTTTCAAAGGCCTTCCCCTCTTATCTTTCAAGAGCGTTTTTAACACAGAGTCTGTTTGTTTGTTATACGTTTGATTGTTACCAAAACTGTAAATGGTCGCATTATTGACTGTGGCATATTGATCACACGGTGCTGATTGGCCTTGATTCGTTGGTGGGAAATTGGTTTAGGGAGTAATTCCCTGGAAGGATTTTCAATCTAATCTTTTTGTTAATCCCAAGACGTATCAACATATCTCGTGAATAAGTCATCGCTTTATTTGATTAAAGATTTATTTAAACGAACGGATGATTGCGATCGAGTTTATTGATGACACATCGAATGTATATTCATGAAACTGAGATCTGATTAGATTGTAGGCCAGAAGGCTCTGGCGAGCGGGAGGTTGCTAATAGAGGAACCGCCTGTACCGGCATGGGTTTTCTGTGGTTTCCCCATGCTACTTCTATGTTCTATAGGAGTGCGAATGCAGTACAGTGTAGAATCCACAGCCGCATGCATAGGGTTGGATAGAGTGCCGAATGGGACCCGAAAAGGGACTGCGAGGCCGTAAGAAAAAAAAAAAAATCTCAAGGGTTTCTCAGTTATATATTGACAAGAAACCTCCAGAAGAAATGTCAGCGGAATATTGTTCACGATATTTTTTCAGCAAAAGTTAATTGAAAAACTTTTGATGATGTTAATTCCAACCTTTCGTTTGCTAGACGTAATTGACGCGTCGAAAGGGCGTATTTTACGGTCAAAATACAAACGTAAATTATGCCCAAAAAAGGGTCTTTTATGGTTCACTAAACGTAATCAATTTTTAACGGAATTTATTGCAAGAAAATTACAAACAACAAAAAAAAAATTTCTTACAATAGGCCATCGCCCGAGGGCCTTCAGCCAAGTGTTTTCATAAGTACATAGTATACAGTGTGACGTTTTGACTTAGATCACCCACAGCATTAATCCTGGGTGATCTAACATGTGACTAGTCCCTGGGATTAGTCACAAATAGAAATAAGTCCTTCCTTCCTAGGGCCGTCGTACCCTATGTTGACCGGCTAGTTTCGGCGGTGAGCTCACGGGGAGTTCGCTCACTCAGAGGGATGTTCGAACAAGGATAGAGGAAGGATTAACGACACTAAATCCACCGTACTAGATGTAGGTAAAATAACTATATATTGGTGGTTAATTTATACACGGTAGTGTTCAATGGGTCGGTATAACGCGGTTCTATAATATTGATTCGACTTCGGGACTTTGACTCGTTGTTGTCTTGTATGGCTGAAGGCCTGAGCTAGAAGTCCGCTCGACTCTGCTCCTGATCGTACTCTGTCTCTTGGGGGAGTCCAGGGAGCTCCTCCAAACTCGTCAAAGTCTCCGTTTGCTGAGCTAAGCAGTCTCACGGTTTTTCTCCACTAAAACTGTTTTGTGTTTGTGTCATTACTGACACAGACTAATACAGTCAAACAGTTCGGTTCACTTGAACTGGACTTGCGAAAACCGTGTGACTGCTGACCATGGTGTCCAAAAGACACCATGGTATAGCTGACTAATGTCTGGATGGCAGGATGGAGAAATCATGTTTCTCTTTCCTCTCATCCAGTGGTAATATGATGCTTTCATATTATTAATTACTAAATCGACGTATTGGTCGATCCCAATACGTCACAACAGTAATAATTTCACTAAACGTATTTCACGCTTAAAGGGGAGATTACTATGAGTTTTAAAAGTCGCGGGCTAATGGAATGAGATTTCTCATACATTAATGATCGATTATATACTTCTAAAAACGAATAATTAGTGAAAAAAAATCATTGTTCATTGTTCGTTTGCCTCGCAAACACTTAAAATGTTAACATAGTTCAGGACCTCTAATTGAAAAAATGTGTGCAATAACAATTACAAATTCGTTTTTTGAAATGCAACTCATACACAGCTAATTTCATTATTTAAAAAAATTGCTTCACTCATGTAAAATAGTCGAAAAATTGTTTCTGAAAGAATTGAGAAGATATCTTAAATATTTTAAGGTGAATTTTTCTGCCTATTTCACATGAGTGGCACGAATTTTTATCAACGGACGAACGAAATTAGCTGTGTAGGAGTGGAATTTCAAAAAACTAATTCGTAATTGGTATTGTAGGCATTTTTTCAAAAATTTTAAAAGTAATACGAACAATGAACAATTAATTTTTTTGCACTAATTGTTCATTTTTAGACATATACAGAGTGTCTCAAGATTACTTGTACGGCTAAATAACTAGCTAAATAGTAGTTGAAAGCGAAAAGGTTTCAGACCCGAGTTATAGGGCTTCAAGGGGGAAAAATAATGAGAAGCATATTTTGAGCATAAGTGTTTATATTTCTATGCTGCAATCACAAGTTCTTTTTTTTAATGGGACCAAAAATTTTTGGCTTACAAACGTTGTACTCGGTGAAACGAATACAATGGTATCGCACATTCAGTTTTTTTCTATGTTTTTGGGTTAATATTACAAAAAAATGTAGGAAGTATTTTAATGAAAGGATATAAACTCAATAAATTCACTCCCCAAATAACTTTTTTAGAAGAGCGGATATTTTTTTTTCATTTTTTTTTTATTTGTCCATATATTTTAAGATCGCCTTCTTTACAAAGTTGTCATTAAAAATGCAAACAATTTGGTATTTGAATAATTATATCTCAGTCGGAAGAGTGCTCTTGCCCACTCACCCTAATATTAGATTCAGGTTGGAAATTCAGGATAATTGGATTTCCAATGTTAGATACCACAAGTCCTTCGAAATTATTGGATATTTTCCGAATGTTTTGTTGCATAGTAACGAGAAGGAAGCCACGGTTTCTAAAATTGAGAAAAATTTTTCTAAAGCTAATCTACTTTTTTTCTCTGTTTATCTGTCAAATTTGTAGAAAACAATTGACAGGCTACAAGGAAATTATCAGTGTGAAACGTATCTCATCACTCTGAATATTGCGCTCTGATTAATCAAAATTAGAATTGTGGCAATTGTCAGCTATAATACCCCTATACCTTCAAAATTATCGGATCTTTCCCGAATGTTTTGTTGCATAGCAACGAGAGGGATTTTACTGCAAAACTGATCCCGATTGTTGATATGCAGGAAAACTTGAGGGAAATATCCAATGAATTTTGAAGGTCGAGGGGTATTCGGAGGACAATTTCTTCAATTCTGATTTTGGCCGATCAGGGTGCAGTGTTCGAGGTTACGGGACACATTTCACCAAAATGTGAAGAATATCTGTCAAATTCGTAAAAAACTATTGACAGGCTACAGGGAAATTAGCAGTATGATAATCTCCCTGCAGCCGGGGAAATTATCAGTGTGGAACGCTTCACGTGACCCCGTATACTGCACTTTGATTGATCAAAATCTGAATTGAGGCAATTGTCACTGCTATTTCAATGACATTTAGAATTTTCAAATTCATTGCTGAAATTCAAGGAAATTGTTGCTCGAATTTTCAAATTATTTAACAATTTTCATTGTCATGTAAACCTGAAAATTGCAATTCTAATAAATACTCCAGAATTCAACTGATTTTTCAATAGCAAAATACATGGAAATTTCGTGTAAATGGGTGATTGTTAAAAATTTCAAGATTTTCTACTTTAAATTCCAAGATTCGTTTTCTAACTGTGTAGACCTTTTCATCTTATACGACTCACTAGATTTTCGGACACTTTTCCATTTTTTTTCATTTTAATTCCTCTAGGAGTTTCGGACACTTGTACCTAATTTACGTATCAATCATCGTTTTTGAGCGCTCAAATGTATACCATCTTAACTGTCAATACTTGTCAAAATTTTTAAGTTTCTTTTCCCAAGATTTTTCAGTTGTATGATTGAAATAAATATTTCCCCTAGATTTGTAGAATGAAAGGTCTATTTAAAGGTAGGAATGGTTGACAATTCCCTCGACGAGAATTGGCCCCGTAAAAAATAGGACATTTCACGTCTTTCATGTCTTTACAGGGAGAGAATTAAACAGTAAAAATTACCACGGCCATAGCAGAGAATGCTATGGCAATATAGCACTCTACTATAAATTTCACTCGGCAAACCTTTCGGCCCTGATTCGGTATGCCGAGCCTAACGTTCGGTGCTGATGTGGTCAACCGAGTCCAGCCCGGATAAAAAACGTT